TGTTTTTATTGTTTTTAAGCTTTAGATCTAAGTGTTTTTATTGTTTTCAAGCTTTAGATCTAAGTGTTTTTATTTTTTAAGCTTTAGATCTAAGTGTTTTTATTGTTTTTAAGCTTTAGATCAGTGTTTTTATTGTTTTTAAGCTTTAGATCAAAGTGTCTTTATTGTTTTTAAGCTTTAGATCAGTGTTTTTATTGTTTTTAAGCTTTAGATCAAAATGTTTTTATTGTTTTTAAGCTTTAGATCAGTGTTTTTATTGTTTTTAAGCTTTAGATCAAAGTGTTTTTATTGTTTTTAAGCTTTAGATCAGTGTTTTTATTGTTTTAAGCTTTAGATCAAAGTGTTTTTATTGTTTTTAAGCTTTAGATCAAAATGTTTTTATTGTTTTTAAGCTTTAGATCAGTGTTTTTATTGTTTTTAAGCTTTAGATCAAAGTGTTTTTATTGTTTTTAAGCTTTAGATCAGTGTTTTTATTGTTTTTAGCTTTAGATCAAAGTGTTTTTATTGTTTTAAGCTTTAGATCAAAGTGTTTTTATTGTTTTTAAGCTTTAGATCAAAGTGTTGTTATTGTTTTTAGCTAGATCAAAGTGTTTTAATTGTTTTTAGCTTTAGATGAAAGCGTTTTTATTGGTTTTAAGCTTTAGATCAAAGTGTTTTTGTTTTCAGCCTTAGATCAAAGTGTTTTAATTGTTTTTAGCTTTAGATGAAAGCATTTTAATTGGTTTTAGCTTTAGATCATAGTGTTTTTATTGTTTTTATCTTTAGTTCAAAGTGTTTTTATTGTTTTTAGCTTTAGATGAAAGCATTTTTATTGGTTTTAGCTTTAGATCATAGTGTTTTTATTGTTTTTATCTTTAGTTCAAAGTGTTTTTATTGTTTTTAGCCTTAGATCATAGTGTTTTATTGTTTTTAGCTTTAGATCATAGTGTTTTTATTGTTTTTAGCTTTAGATCAAAGTGTTTTTATTGTTTTTAGAGGTGATAAGAACAGCTTGGATTAGTGGCCTAACTTCACCCGCTGCAGTAAAAGTAACATCTCACCGGTTCTTCTCATGAGATTAAATTAATAAAGTAGAACCGTATAAGCAGGGTTTTTGTGGTGTGACGGTTCTGACAGGAGCTGATTTAAACCTCAAACTGGACCCGTCGGGTCTGTAGCTTCTTTCCCAGTAGCCTAAATGTTTCAACGCAGCAGACTTTGTGTTTTGGCTCCAACGAGGTTTCCTCTTCAGGATGTAGAACGAGCCTCATCGAAGGAGGAGAACCTTCCACGAGGCTCTTCTGATGATTTGTTTTCATTTTTACCGTTTAGCTCGTAAAAGCACGATGCAACAAGCAGTTGTAGCAGATTCAGTTTTATGGGTTTCTCAGGTCAGAATGAAGGATTTCTGTGGGTCGGTTTCAGAACCAGGAAGTTTTAGATCTCGAGGCCTGGTCGTGGAGAGGAGGGGGTTTAGTTTACGAACATCAGGGTCTCTGTTTATGCAGATGATGTGGTTCCGTTGGCTTCTTTAGGTCGTGACCTTCAGCGCGCACCGGGGCAGTCGGGGCACGATGACCGTCAGATCCTCCAAGTCTGAGGTCACGGTTCTGAACCAGAGGTGTGGGGGTGGAGGTGTTCAGTATCTGGGCGTCTTTTTCCTGAGCGATGGTAGGATGGAGCTGCAGCTGGATCAGGATCTCATCCTCAGTAATGAGGGTGTTGCTCCGGTCAGTTGTGCAGAAGAGAGCTGAGTCTCAGCCTTAGTCTGAGTCCTAGGAGATTTAGATGTTTTTAGTTTCAGTAAAAAGATGCTCTAAGTGTTTTTACATATTAAACACTCAGACGGTGGGGATTCATACCCTGAAGGAATGCATATCTCCCGCCGTCTTTCAGTTTAAATTCAAGATGGCCGCCAAAGCCAAATCCCGAGAAATGTTTTAAGTCTTGGAGTTTGTGTTGAGGATGACTCTCAGCTACTTCCACGTCAACTTGACCTCATTATCTGTGTTAGACCAAATTTTAGCCTTTTTGTGTCGGCGGCCTCTTCTTCCAGGGGTTCATGAGATATTTTGCTAACAGGTAGAAACGTTTACAAGAAACACACAAGATTATTTAAATATTAAGTTAACATGTGTAATGCTTAACAGACAAGTTTTAAACTCAACAAAGTTTGTGCTCGTGATATTTTCCTCTCGTCTTCTTTGAAGCGTGTTGATCGTACAAATCCATCTCTGTCGCCCCCTGGAGGTGAAACTTGTTTTTATTTAGATTAGGACAGGACTTCAGATCAAACTGGTTTCTATAAATCAAATGGTCTCAAACCAGTTGATGTTGTTCTGAATCCTGACTCGTTAAAACTAAGAACTTGTAAATAATAAAAAGACTAAAAGTTACAGAAATATGGACTGAAATCCACTTTGAGCCTGACTCAGATGTTTGGTGCCGTTTTTCTCAGACTTCGGCTCGTTTCACGTGTTCCTGTGAAGAAGCAGCAGATGTAGCTTCAGTCAGTGCCTGAAACACTCCTCTTCACTCCTTTTCATTCATCTTCACTCTTCACTCCTCTTCACTCCTTTTCATTCATCTTCACTCTCTTCACTCCTTTTCACTCCTCAATTCACTCCTCTTCACTCTCTCCACTCCTTTTCACTCCTCTTCAATCCACTCCTCTTCACACTCTTCACTCCGCTTCACTCTTCACTCCTTTTCATTCATCTTCACTCTCTTCACTCCTCTTCACTCCTCTTCACTCTCTTCACTCCTCTTCACTCTCTTCACTCCTTTTCACTCTCTCCACTCCTTTTCACTCCTCTTCAATCCACTCCCCTTCACTCCTCTACACTCTTCTTCACTCCTCTTTACTCCTCTTCACTCCTCTACACTCTTCTTCACTCCTCTACACGCCACTCCTTTTCACTCTCTCCGCTCCTCT